CTATTTAATAATGCTTTCTTCTTACAATTTATTTTCAAAGTGTTTTGGAAAATATTATAATATTTTACTATATAGTCAATGCATGACAAGAATAAAAACTTTTTGAAGTGTATATATGTCATGTTATAAATCACTCTCTTAGAAGAGTATATACATTTTGAGAAAACACAGCACACATAGATATAACTTTGAATATGGATGCACAGTAATAATAAATAATTCATGTTTTATATGCAAAACCTTCTTATTCAAAGTATTCTTGATGATATTGTGATATTTGTAGATAAACCTCCTTATATGTAACTAAAATAACAATATTCAAATAAATAGGAATTCTCCCCACTTCATCATAATAGAATATATCATTATTATCCCTCCCTAGGATTTCAATCACATTTAGAAAAGAAAATATACATTACAGAATAATGTCATTAAAGGAACTTAATGACATTGATTAATGACATCCTCTTTCAATGATTGAAAACAGTTGTAGTTTGACCTCCATATCAATATATAATTTAATTAAAATTATCATAACTTATGAACAGTGGACTATTTATAGAAATGTAATACAGCTTTAAAAGGTTAAAAGTATAAATGTAAGCTAGCATTATAAGCCACTATAGTGCTAGTAATTCTCAGTAGTGTGTGTGTGTGTGTGTGTGTGTGTGTGTGTGTGTGTTTTAATTCTAACCTGAGGACACTTTTGAAATAATTGATTTTAGAGAGAGGAAGAGAAATATTGATGTGAAAGAGATGCATCAATTTGCTGTCTTCCATATGAATGCATGCCAACCAAGGATTAAACCCCCAACCTAGGTATGTGCACTGACTAGAAATTGAACCCACCATCTTTCAGTGCTCTACCAACTGAGCCACTTGGCCAGGCTGTTATAGAGAAACATTCCAAAAGAGGGTCAGGATCTGTTCCAGAGACAGAGAAGCATCAATCAGATGTTCAAACTCAGAGGGAAGGTGTGTGTGTGTGGGGGGAGTTTAAAGGGGAGAGATCAACCAAAGGACTTGTATGCATGTATATAAGCATAACCAATGGACATAGACACCAGGAGGGTGAGGGCATGAGTGGGGGGTTGAAGGGAAAATGGGGGGATAAGGACACATATGTAATACCTTAACCAATAAAGAAAAAAATACAAAAAAAGTAAAAATATCTTTGGGGAAAAAACAAACAAAACAAAACAAACAAACCACAATGAAAGCATGTGTGAGTTCTAACTGCTCTGAGGTGTGCAATAAAGAATTAATTAGTGTTTCTCCATCCCCACCCCACCCCACCCCTAAAAAAGAGGGTCAGATTGAAGACTTACAATTAAGTAAAAATTGTGACATTAGCTCAAAGACACAGACATGACTGGGCTCATGTTGTGTTTTAATTTGTTTCAATGACTAGAAAAAAACACACAGTAAAATGCAATTTGCCTTTAGAACTGTTAGTGATATAACTTACAGGAATCTTTAGTTTAAAACTAAAGATAATTTTATTAAGTAAAACAAAATTTATCCCATGGGATTATGAGTAAGTAATACCAAACTCTGTATCTGCAATGCACTTAATTCCCAGGATTGTTACAAAGAGTAAATGAGATAATATCTATGATCTGAATATTATCTGCTTTCATGCAGATAATATTTAAGAAATTTTAGCAATAATCATTATTATTGTGAGTCAAAATATATATATTTTTAAATGCCATGTCTTTCAATCTAATCAAATAAAAAATAGTCTATTTGTAAGAGACTTGGAGTTGCTTATCTATTATCCATTGTATTTTTATTTCTTACTAGAGGCCCGGTGCATGAAATTCATGCACTAAGGGGGCATGTTCCTCAGCCCAGCCTGCACCATCTCTAATCTGGGACCC